TATTCACTTGTGACAGTACACAAAATAGAAAAAAAGACTTCTGATAGAGTTTAAGAAAACACTTTATTGCTTTGTAACGTGAAAAAATGGGGCGTATGAAAGATAGACGTCAAATGGTAATGCCGGAGTCCGATGGCTAAGAAGGTATTTGACTCGAGGTTTCCATGATGGTAGAGACAACTTATTTAATGTACAAACAGTTGGGAGGATGAAAAGTTATCTGAGGTATGAATTGCCTGAACGCTTATTTAACTATTGTTGTGTAGCCTGTTGTCTTAGAGAAAATCAACTCCTAATGGATGTTGAGGGACACCCTTCCCTGCACCAAAACCCATGTGGTTAGAAGCCCTTCCATATGGGATGCATCATTCAAAGTACTAATGTGCACCCACCAATAATTCAACCTAACGAATTTTTTGTTGAGGTAACATACACAGTGGGAAAATGCACCCCATTTTGACAGAACAGAAGCCACAGTAGCAACTGTTCATCGCAGCAGCTTACCTTTGCTAGGTCTCTAAGGTCAAGGGTTAGTGGAGGTAATCTACTTTTCCACATCAGTGGTAGAGGTGGGGCTCCATCCCACTGTGTTTGCCCCTTTCTCTAGACTGAAGAATTGTTTGAGTCAATCGTAAAACCGATTCTGTGGCATGGATCATACAAGAAGCATGATCTCACTGTCAATGTTTTATTTGTCTGACTTGACAGGCCTGCTTCACACCTGTGGGATGGGAATAGATGTTGATAAGTGAACAAATGGAGTTGATTATTTTGCTTGAATGCGAGCTGTGGGAGCTTGTTGTCAGGCATTACTACGGTGATTCCCAAAGGAGTTAATCACCTTTTTGTCACCGCTTTTTTAATTTCTCACCTGTGTCAGCAACAATATGCTGGTGGACAGTCACAGGATCCCACAGCCTTTGTTGTTCTCATCACGTGTTAGCTTCGCCCATCCAAATGACAACAGGCATTGTCGCTACCAACGCTACCAGACCCTTAATACACAAGTCCGTTTCTTAATTCTCACCAAATTGCTTTTACGGTTGGGGACACTGGACAGCTAGAAAAACACCATTGCAGCGCCTGGGTTTCCCTTAAAGTAGATTGCATAGGGGACATGAAGAGGACCAGCATCATTGTGACCGGAATCCTCAGATCTGGCTCATTGTCAGTGTAAAGTGCGCCCACTGAATGCAAGTCTCACTAAGAGGTAAAACAAGTCGACCTCACGTTGCTGACCTCTCAGCTGTGTGGGACATCTATCGCTGGCAGAGCACCAAACTCAACTTGAGGTGGTGATGAAGCCTGAGTGTCCAAGTCGAGGAGGTGTGAGGGGTGGTGTCACAGATATTTTGCATTGTTCTCAATGCCACCGTCACGGAGACCAAAACTGCTCATCCCGAAAGGATTCATGGCCCTTTATATGCCTGGTAAACGGGTGTACTTAGGTCTAATAGTCCCCATTCTGTTTTGAGTGTCGTTTTGTGAGCTCCCAAAGGTAAGTATTCTGTCCCTTTCACCGCTTTCGTATCCATGGCTGAAGATGCATCACACAAATTCCGTTGAGGTTCACTTGCTATGCTCTATTAGGAAGCTGCATTGAAAGTAAGT